GACTAAGCAAATTCTGCCAGTCGATGCCAGCCTCCATCTGGAATGGAGGTTTCCCGGGAAATAAGCTGTCTCAAAAGGCATAAGGCTTCCAGCCTAGATTGGCTGTCCCCATCCTTTTTTGAGGATGGGGGTTTAGCCTTGGTTTGGATTTAACGAAAATCCTAGGCTCAATGTGTGAGAGGGAACAGGTTCCAACTGAATGGTGTCAATCGGTCATCATACCGATTTACAAGAAAGGTGACAGATCCTCTTGTGAAAACCACGGAGGAATCCCACAACTCATCTACATCATCAGGTTGCGGCGCGCTTAGTCTACGCACTACATATGATTCACAGCGCACACGAACTGCTGGAACAGATATTCGATGATGAGCTGTATGAGTTTGCTGAATTAGTCGCCGGTCGGTCAGTCGGAGAGTGAACTGCATTAAAACTAGTGCATGGTCAGACTCAACGCAGATGATCCAACAGGACCTGCAATTTCGCACTGAGCCACGTCAATGGTAGCTTACTGCTGTGGTCAATTCGAGTTAGAGTTCCAGTTGAACTGGAGCCCCACGTTGCCGTCCGTCGAGAGCTGTGTCGGCAGTTGGTGCTTGATAGGAACGGATAACGATCCGCGCAGAACTGAAGAAGTCGATCACCGTTATCTGTTCGTTGGCAGGGTAGAGCACAACGTCCGCCTAGAGACGCTTCTGATGTGCTCAGTTTTCCAAATCGCACGTTAAAGTCACATGCAAGTACAACTATGTCGGAGCTGAGACTCAGCCGCATGAGATCGATGAGTTCTTCGTAGAAACTGTCCGTTTGAGTATCAGAACGGCAATTGGTCGACTCAGTCAACCACTCTAGACTCTGGTACCGTCTTTCACTGAAGGGTGTGCTCGATAAGATTATTTCAATATTACAATCCCTCTATATTAATATTAGAAGTCGAGTCCGAGCTTAAGGCACGTTTTCACCCGAGTTCACAACGGACAGTGATGTTCGTTAGGGTCGCCCTATCCCTCCGTCTTTGTTTCATTTCGTCATAGATTTATTTATGGAAACACCCCTATCTTCGTGCGAGGATAGTGGCATCGATTCACTGCGAGGCGGGAGACTGTTTACTCTAGAGTATGCAGACGTCGTTTTGCCAATAAGTGAAAATGCAAGTAAGTTGCAAGCTTTTCTAGGTAGCTTGAAAGCCGGCGCAGTCACGTTCGGTATGCGCTTTGCACCTTCAAAGTGTAAAATACTCTTACAAGATTGGGTTGGTCCAGTACCCAGACTTACTTTATAATCATCCTCATCATTGTACAGCGTAAAACAGTGTAGCAAACTTCATTGATCGTTGCCAATCTCATAATGCATACCAAATAAGTGAGAGTGTAAGGATGACAGGGAGTGGACCTATTTTGATGACTCCCTTTAACTGGGATAGTAATAGAGTAAGTGGATAAATTTTGATATTTGGGCAGCTACATCTCACCCGGTGGACACATCACGGATGAAGTGTCAGCTAGCAAACAGAAGACTCGATTGGTATTTGCCAACTTGAGACATCTGCTGCACCGTGGCGACATCCGGCTGTCTGTTAAGGATCGAGTGTATGCCGCGGCAGTTCGGCCAGTTCTGATCTATGGAGCAGAAACTTGGCCATTAAGAAAATAGGACAAAGATGGACTGTCGGTGTTTGAACATTGCTATCTATGCAGCATTGCACAAATCTGGTGGGGCAGCCGGACGAGCAGTGCTGAGGTTAAGCCCAAAGATTTAGGCAACCGCGATCACTTACTGGAGCAAGTGGTCGACCTCCAAAGATTACGTTGGTTGGGACATATATTACTCATGCCCCCAAATAGGTTGCCACGGCGAGCGATGTTTACCGAGGGAGGTAGTGGGTGGAATAAAGCCAAGGGTGCTCAAGCTAAGACCTGGCATGAGTGTATGAAAACCCTAACCAGGAATTTGAGTCACATAGAAAAAATACAGGTAGCAGCTGCGTTACTAACAAACGATGCCTCCGTTCAACCGGATATAAATGAAAAGGAATTGGCCTGTTAAAGGATAGTCATCGACAGGATGGCTCAGCCAAAAAGGAATTCCTGTGAAGAACCGCGCAGAAAAGAAATAAATGTGGGAGTAAATACCCAGGGAAAAAACGTGCCGGGTTGCTATGCCCGAGGGAACTCATAAAGTAAATGGCCTAAACACAGGCCCCAGCACTGCCACAAAGAAGTTTAAAATCGTGGTATACAAACGTCTGTAGTGCCGGAAATAAGTAGGATGAACGGAAAACCAGATGCCCAGAACATGTTTATTGTGAGCCCCGATCAATCAGTCAATTTCATCATATTATATTGGCAAACATTTACATCGCTCCTGACACGCCTGTCTCTAATATTCGTCTGTTTGTCGACTCCTCCTCACAACCTATAACGGTTTACACCAGTCTTTATGCATTGATGCTGGTGATTTTGATCGTTTTAATATATCTTTCTTTACAACTTTAGGCTTCACGAATCCTGCAAATTTTCCTACCCGGCTTGTTATTCAACTTGACGGGATTTTTGTAAATAGCCCCGATATCTTTTTCATTGTGAAGCGGGCTGTAACGTAGTAGTTTATTTGATTGACGAGAGCTTTTAGTGTATCAGATCACACGTTTAGTCGACAAACAAGCCAGAAGACAACGCTTTCATGATAGGCTTTAATCGACCAAAACCGAGGCATGAGATCTGAAACGGGACAAGCGAAATGATAGAATATGCGCCCAGAATAATAGCAATCTAGGCAACAGAAAAGGCAAT